CAGGCTATGACCATAACCATAATTTAATGGTGTAATTTGTAGTGAAATCACCCGGTCATAACCATTATTTAATAAAGTCATTTGGTCACAAAATTTTATGATTAAAGGACACATGCTACATCCTCACCAGCGATTATTTGAGAGTAATAGAGAGATACAGTTGACATGATATTGGTTATTTGTGAGATGACGTTAATCTTATATGTTTTATGCTTTTATAGTGGTAAATTTGACTTGAAACATTTTGAATTTTATAATTTAATTGATATTTTCATATTATTGTATGAATTTACACCTAAAATGCTTAAGGTTAGGATTTGAGATCATTTTGAAAAAAATGAGATCTCCAACTAAAATTTACTTATCAATATGGTCATTATCAAGGTATTTTGTTGATTGTATTTGACTGCTTGGAATCATATCTACTCTTCTTCTTTGTTCGCAAAGGATTGAGTCTGAAAGTTCATTTGGACTTTTAAGATCTTGTCAACTCTACCCCATATATAAAAGACTGGGTCCTTGAGATTTGATCTAATGACTATGCCTTATAGGTTTCAAACTAAGGGTTTGCATTTTGAAAGTGAGTTTTTGTAATTAAAAGAGATCCAAGTCTTATGTAAATGTAAAATAAAATATCTTGTAGTTTTATACTGAATAAGTAATTATTTGTCATGAAATTCAAGTCTTGACAGTTCCAATCCTAAAAATATAGAGAATTGTACTTGAAAAATGGCTTACAACCCTATCTAATAGACAAGACGGCTCGTTCAAAATGTACACACATGTTGGTGGATTTAAATTTTGAAAAGAGTTTGTGGGGTTTTTAATTGATTGCATGCTTTTCAAAATAAAATGAATTTATTATGCCTTTACTTTTTAGACTTGAACATTAACTCATTTTATAAGCTCACATGCAGTCATTTGAATTTAATGCATCTTGATGTATCTTTCAAATAATGCACATGGCTTCCGATGCATTTGCATCGCATACGTACATGTTTCTTGATATATTTGTATGATGCACTTCCACGATATATTTGCAAGCTTTTAGAGAGTGCATTATGCAGCTGAACGCTTTTTAATGCACTTACATTGTGCATTTACACATTTTTTTATGCATTTGCACAATGCACCTGCATCCTTTTTAATGCATTTGCATGAGAATTTGCATACTTTTTAAAGCAATTGCATATGCATTTGCACGGTTTTTTACATAATGTGTTTATATAGTACACTTACATGATGCATTTGCATAGTTGTTGGTACACTTGCATAAAGTATTTGTATGATTTTTTATGCACTTGCATGAAACACTAGCATGACTTTCGGTGCACTTATACGATGCACTTGCATGACTGCTTAGGTGTTATATTTGGGTAGAAGATAGTCTTGTTAAGTCCGTGCAAAACTCTGAATTCTCACATTTAACTATTTGTGCAAATATTTTGTCATTGAGACACAATATTTGATTTAGAGCTTTTTTAAAAGTGCCTTATATCCACTTCCATGCATGTATTGTAGATTCAGCAGCTTGCTTGCATTTAAATTCACACGAGCATTTAAATAGAACCCCTGACTCCCCCCCCCCCCCCTCTTTAGTTTTTAGCTGTTTTTCTATGAATAGAGACACTTCATTGGTTATTTTCATTCAACTTAACTCTTAGTTCACATGTCTAGGAGTTCTAAGAGCAGCAGTGAATTTCTATTTGGAATCATATGTTTGTTCAGTCTTCTGCTGTTCAATTTTGTGTTTGTTGGCCCTTAAAGTTTTATTTGACAAGACATGCGCTGCATTTTTTTTTAGTATTTATTTGATCATATTTTGTAATTATGTAACGTGTTATTTTCATTTTTGTCCTTCTCAAGTTTGGTTCATTAAAAAATTAGGCAACCCCCAACATCTGCCTCACGAAGAAGGTCTCTATGGGAAGCGTTGGGCCTTTCCAAACACTCAGGAGATATCTATGGGTAGTTTATTTGACAAGTGTTTTATTCTTTTAGTATTTATTTTATCATAATTTGTAATTTTGTAATGTTTATATTTTTTTTCACGTTTATGCTCATAAGGTTCTCTTCACTTTGTTATTTCAAAGTCCATTTCAAATTTGGTTCATTGAAAAATTAGGCAACCCCCAACGTCTACCTCACATAGGAGGTATCTATGAGAAGCATTGGGCCTTTCCAAAACACTTAAAAAACATGTCAGGCCAATATCTAAGATGTCGTTATCAAGGGTCTTCATACCCATCACATTTAAAAACGGTGTCCATAGGCATTCAGTACCTGAACGAAAATGAACAAAGGGGTTTCCTTGTTGGATTGTAATAATGTGCACAAGTACTTATGAGTGAGTTTCCCCGTCGCATTGGAACAACTTATGCAAGTATTCTTGCATTTTTCACCTTCCGTGTATAGCGGTTAATGTGATGTGAGGTAACAAGATTGCGGTGAGAAGATCAAACAGACTCAAATCTTCTTCTCGTTTTATTTTTTGAATTTTTCTTTTCTTTTTAATGGAACTTATCTGTTTCCCATTTTTGTAGAGAGGAAAAGAAAGGGAGATTCAAAGAGAGATGGCAAGAGAAATAGAAAGAAAGTACAAGACATAGTGAAAGAAAGAGGAAGGAAGAGACAGATAAATAAAGAGAAGAGTTGTAGTTGAGGGAGAATCGACCAATGAATTTGGAAGACAATAGCTGATGTCGGGAAGACAAAAACTCTCCTACATTGATAGAGAGGGAGAAAAAGAGAGTAGGTGTTGAGTTATGGGTTGTCGACATTGCGGAAGTTATCACTGACATCCATTGTTTTAGAGCTTTGCTAGACTTGAATTTGGAGAACATGCTTTGTTGAAGAGAAAGTGATCACCGACAATAGGTTTGGACTTCAAAGGATCCAACAAATGGATGAAACTGTAGGCATATAGCATTCAGTTAGGTGCTGGAAAAAGTGAGAGTAAGGGAGAGGGTAAGTAGGTGGCAGTTGTGCAACAGAGCTCAAAAGGTTAGGTGTTGGGAAAAAGTGAGAGTAAGGGAGAGAGCAAGTAGGTGGCAGTTGTGCAGCTGAGCTCAAATGAGCTTGGAGTGGAGGGTGTAATATCGAAGGCTAAGGAGGCCACATAGGTTGAATTCACAAGAGAGGGGCTGCACAAGCTGAGAGTTGCAAATACGAGAAAGATTGAGAACGTAACAAGCCAAAGAGGAAAATAATGAGAGAGAAAGAGAGGGACATGGAAGGGGTTCATGGCGAGCTCAAGATTTGAGAGGAAGAAGAGGGGAAGTTGGACTGTGTGCGCGCGGTAGGTGGAAAACAAATGAGATGGAGTGTGCTTTACACCCCCTTTTCTCTCGTTGATGCCTTCACCAATAGGTTCCTACGACTTCCTCGCATCATAAGGGTTTCAGGAATTTGGTAGAAGTGGGAGAGGAAAATCGTGCAAACTAGGTGTGGAAGGAAAGAGGGTTGTGCAAGTGTGGGGGGAATGTGAGGGTTACGTGAAGAAGAAGGAGAGTCATGTGGTGTGTGTGTATATATAATATGTCAACAATTGCACCATGTACCAAGAGTGTCAAAGGAGGTAAAAGAGGATATTTGTTCTTATATGAATAACGCAACTATTTCAAAGCATTTGGCCCAATGATAATTTAATGATAGAAGATAAATCTCATTATTTCCAATGCAATCGCAAACACATGGAGTCCAACACATATGCTTTCACTTCTCTATCAACTTATTCTTTGTTGCCTTTTAAGTACAAGCATTATCATTAACAACTTCGACCACTAAAAGCTCTCCAATCTCCGCTATGAACCTATGACTCTATGAATATGTCCAAAAATATACTATAAATCCTTCACATGATTGATGTTTCAACAAACTGCAAAAAAATAGTGACATGGAGATTATTTTTAGAATGTTAATCAAGCTCATATTTTTAATACCAAACCAAACATTAAACATGATTGTGCCTCTATTATTTATCCAAGTTCTTTTGAGGAGTTCCTCTATTATTTATCCAAGTTCTTTTGATCTCCTCAATATACTTTTCAAAGCTATTAAGTCCCTCCTTCAATATTCAAGTCTTGAGCTCATAAATGGATAAAAGGCCTTGACTATAGGAACCTGTAGAATGAATCATGTTGACATAAAATGGGGAAGTTAGCGTACTAAACGGAATTATATTTTAATAGAAGAATCTTCCAATGTTGATACAAATACACATACAAGCATCTCTCACATTTTGAGGAGATATTTGATAGGCAAACCCTCGCGCCATCATCCCTCTTACATTCATCATATATTGGTCTACAGGTTGTCTTGCACCTCTATTTGACATTTTTCGCAAAGAAGATAAGGAATATTTACCACTTGGCCCACTATTATTATAAAATATGTTACCTTCATGATTATCAAATAGTCATCATGTATGCTTTGATATGGTCAATTTGTTCATGTGGGGACATGAATCTCCTCTTTCACCTCCTCCAATAATCTAGCACATGATGTAACAATTTTATGAGAATCAGAAATATATTTTTACAGTATGATTAGCCCACCTTTAACAACTTTATCATAAATTCATAATAGTTGTACTTCAAATAGAGTTGTCTTCTCACTCTCTCCAATTTGCACTTCCACACTTTGTTTCCATGTCAAGTCCTTTCTATTTTTTATCAAGCATTTCTTTTTTCTCTTAACCATTTTAGAAAACCCTAAATTGAAAATGTCAATTCAAAACAGATGTTACAAAATGCAAATGCTAAAAAAAAAAAAAAGAAACCCAAACCAAAATAAAAAAATTTAGGTATAGGAAAAGAATGTCTACTCTTGCAACTAAATTGAGGTGTGCTTTGAGACACGCTTCGTATTACAAAATTTTAAACAATTGTAGAATACGGTGAAAATAGACGCATGTGAGTGCTTTCCATAAGAAGTGCAGTGAAGCCACCTATTTAAGGTAAGATGACACTGGAATAATTGCATATTAGTTAGATGCATACCTTGGTTGGGCATAGACGAGGTTGGATCTGTAAAGCGAAAAGCAAATGAAAGACCATCAGCTCCTTCCCTGTTAACCAGAAAATGAATTTAACTTTCCATATCATTCTAAATCAAGACACTAATATAAGCGGAGACACTGGATAAAATTCATTTCTGTTTGAGATTTAGTGAGTGTATCTGATAGGAAACCCATAAAAATTAAGATGAACCGGAAGGACAAGATGAGGCATAACCAAATGAGATTGCATAACTATGAGCAAGGTAACCAACTCAAAAGGGCCAGATCAACAAAAGTTCTTGCTGTGTTTTCCAGAAGACCGGAAAGTGTTAATGCTCTATTTGCACCAAAAAGAACAGATACGTCACTCAATTAGCATAGCCAATAGAATAACAAACAGTCAAACTGATGGGGACATCAGATCGTGGAAGGTTTATTGATGCATACAAAGGGGGGTCAAAACAAGTTAGATTTTATTTTGGTGAATTTTGGATCCTCTACTAGATTCAGCTCATTAATGTCTAGTAGAGAACCTTTTTTAGCTCATAAATTGATGTTTATTCCCCCATGTGTTGTCCCTTTGGTTCCCGTGGATGGATCCTTGGTTCCCGCGCCTTGGCTCTTGGTTTCCTGCGGCTGGCTCTTGTTTTCTCGTGCCTTAACCCCTTGTTTCCTGTGCTGTTTTCGGGTCCCTAGCTGGGCTGTTTTCCCGAAGCAGCCAGGGGGCTCTTCCCGTGGATTTAATGCTCTGTTTCCTGTGCAATGTTGGGCTGCTGTTTGAAGAGATTTTGGGGCTGTTTTTGGACAGAATTTGGACAGTTTTTGGGACTGATTTGGTGGCTGTTTTGGGAGGAATTCCAAAAGAGACTTTTGCTGATTTCTGTGCAGTTTTTTACTGCAGTTTTTAGGTGTCTTTTGGCCTTCTTCTTCCTATTTTAATTAGCTTTTAATTAAGTTTTAGTGGCTGTTTGTATTCCTTCTTTTGTGCCTATAAATAGGAGTTGTTTGTGACTGTTTTAGATATGTTATGTGATGTGATTTTTGGAAATATAAACCTGCGGGTTTCATCGGAAAAGCTTGCGAGCTTTGTCCACTTCTTCTTCTCATCCCCTCCGGAAATCTTGCGAGCTCTTTCCAACCTTTCGTCTTGGCTTCTAACCTCTTTCGTCTCTACGCAAATGCCACTCCATCTGTATCCTTCTTCTCAAAGTAAGCAAGTTTAGGGTGTCATTTTGTTTGAGTCATTTGTAAGAATCAAGGATTGTAATGTCATGTTATGTTGAAAGTCAAGTTTGTAAGAGTCTTTATTTATAAAAGTGTTCGTTTATATGAAATGTAAGAGCTGTTCTATTATCTCTAAGTTATCTCTTCTTTTTGAGGTATTTTGTGTCTTCTGTTATATAGGAAGTCATTTTCTTCTTGTGATCAAAAAATATAGGCTCCCCTATATTTTTTGATTGCATCATTTATCAGAGGCGTGGCCGCCGATCTACGGTCACGATCGAGTCTTTGTATTTCTGAGTCATTTATGTTATTTTATTATTCATGTATTTTTCTATTTTCTTAGTGTCATTTTGGTTTTTTACGTTTATACCCCTTTAGTGGGAATTGTCGTGTGTGAGCCCAAAGGGAAAGTTGGTCTTTTATTTCTTTGAGTCCATTGTACTTGGCTATTTATAGCCTCTTGTTTGATGTTTTGATTAATGAATGATTATGAAAAAAATTCATGCACTTGTTTTCTTAGAGCTTATGAGAGAGCTTGAGAGAGAGAATTAGAGAACTTGGTGGAGCCTAGGAGAGACCACCCGTCGTACCCAACAGTCACCACCGGTGGCTCTTAGTTCTCCTCCCCTTTCCCTCCCTTCCCCTTACCTCCACCGCCGGCCAACCTTCTCCTCACCCGAGCCCCTCTTCTCCACTCCAAAACCCACGGCCCAATCCACTTCCCAAATCCCTCACCCGAGCCCCAATTCCTTCCCTTCCAATTCCACGGCCAAGCCCCACCCGAGCCCTCAATACCACCGGCTCTAGCCTCTCCCCCACCTCCTTGTGATTTCCTATTTTGGTTGGGACTAATTTAGGGATTGATTTGAATTTGAAATTATTCAAATTTAAATTTCAAATCCTTTCCTAATTTAGTTAATCTATTTTAGGAAAGTTACTAATTTAAATCCAATTGAATTTGAAATTTAAATTGGATTGAATTATTTACTTTCCTAATTATTTAAACCAAATTAGGAAGCCCTAAATAGCCTCATTAAATTCACCCCCTTCCTCTATAGCCGACGGCCCCATCATGGGTTCCAATTAGGAATTTTTTCCTAATTCCCCCACCTTCTCTATTAGATACAATTCAAAGCCCCTCATCCCACCTTGGCCGAAATTTCCATTGCCCCTTTTTAATTATTTTCTTTCCAATTGATCTCCTCTTCTTTTGGAAATATTTCCAATTCTTCACCCCTCTCTCTACCCGCCGGCCCCCTCTTCCTTTTCTTCCTCTTCTTTAATTATTCCCAATCAAAGGGAATTAATTAAAGGGAGGATCACAGCAAATCTCCTCACCTAAATCTGAACTTATTTCAGATTTATTACTCTCTCCCTCCATAGCTTTCCACCTTGCAAAAACCTGAAATTTATTTCAGATTTGGCCTTAGCTCTTCTCCCCTTCAAATTGCAAGAGGAACTTCTTCCTCTTCACCAATCTTCAAGTGCACCAACAAGTGGGAAGAGTTTTGCCACCAAGCACACATGAATGGCGGATCCGGCTACTGAGTACGGCTTGACTTGGGACAAGGACGGCTTCACTGATATCCTATGCTCAACCTTCTTCTAAGTGAACTCAAGGATTGATCACACCGTCGAGGACTACTTGGAGCGTATTCTGGACACCTTAGTGGAAGCAAATGATGAGCACTTCGAAGGCGTCGAGTGGAGGATCTCCACCACTCCTTGACGAAGGTTTCTCTTTCTCCTTTCATTACATTTCCTAAATCTAACTTCTCTCGGAATTGATGACAGTCATGAAGGACGACTCCACGCCGCTCATGCTAAGCTTAGTAAACGTAGGGCTTGAGTGCACCTTTATGCTTTCTAATTCTTATTGTTGGATTAGAGATTTCTTTGAAAACTACTACTTGTCATTGTATTGTTTTTTTATTTATTTTGAAAAGTTTCAAAACTCTTGTCCTGTGATTTAGCTTAAGCGGGTGTGACCCCTATTTTGTTTTGATTCATTGTTTTAAATTGCTAGTAGTTTTGTTCTAAGTTTATTCTAATCTCGAGTTGTGCAAAATCCTATTGAACTAACAGCATTGCATACTTAGTCCTGCATCACTGATGCTATCAAGAATTTCTGTACTTTTTATTTTATTTGAACAATAGTGTATTTTGTTTTCTTTTTCTTTTTTAGCTATCCAATGATGGGAAAGCATCCAATGATCATGATAGGTAGTGCATATGGCTTGGTAGACCTTTGGTTTGTTGGCTCGATTGGTCCCTAGCTGCTGGTGGTTCTCGGGTTGGCTGTTTTGGAGCATTCGGTTTTGAGCTTGTTCCCTAAGTTGCTTGAGCTGAAGTTTAGTAGCTCATTAATATCCAAAAAGGTACATCATTATGAAGTTTACTTTTGGAGTGGCCTTGTCCCTTCCCCTTCCCCTTTTCTTCTTATCTCTTGGGATTCCGTGGCTTGTATTTAATGGGGGCTGAATTCTATGCTGAGAATTCAATGGAAAGCTATTAATTTTCCTTTGGGAATTCAGCCAGTCTTTGTCAATCTTGCAGTGGTGGACTATCGGTTTGCTAGTTCTATGCACTTTACTTATTTAACCTACAAATTCGATGCATGTGAGGAACCCGCTCTGACGGTTGTCTGAGGATAGCGTCTTTTTAAGTTTCTTTATTTCTTTAAAATCTCCTAGCATCTTTTGTTGTGTTTGTCAAGTTTTGGGTCGTTTGAGTTTATTTAACAAAGTTTGTTTTAAGTTCTTCTTATTTTGTCAGTTTTCTTCTCTTGTGTCTTTTGTGTTCAAGAAATATAGGGTCCCTTATATTCCTTGTCTACATCAATCACAAACTTTGACTAAAAGCAAATGCAACAGGGAATACTTCAATGAATCATTGTTTTAGACTAATGAAGGCCCTGGCCATCAGACTATAGAAAACGGGAAGGGGCAACCAGCAGATAAATTTTCACACTTCTTCATGCATTTTTTTTTCATGGTTATTACAAGAATTGACAAAAACAGCACTAGAACTCAACTCCTAGCCATTATAAATTGCAAAAGAGTAGAATTGAATGAAGAAAAGATGAATGGAGAAATTTTTAAGAAATCTAAAAATATTTTATACGAAAGTGGCATATGCTTTCTATGTTAAAAAAACTCAAACTATTATACTGATGCAACAGTACTTGCCTCTTCTCTTTTACAGGAGCCTTATTTGCAAGCCTAGCTGTTTGGACAGCAGCATCTGCAGTTGCAGCCTCTGGAGTTGCTCGCAATATCTCACAAATGAGTTGTTGGCATTCACTCTTTTTCCGTACAGATTTAAGAAAAAAAACATAAAAAATTTTCAGCTTATGCCATTCACACTTGTAATAGGCCATAATTTTGATATATTCACCATATAACCAGATTGTTACACTTCACTCCAAAGAAAGAGCTAGACTTCAGAACTACCTGCATGACTGCCAAAGAAAAAGCTACACTAAAGCCGCCAGCTGCTTGAGACAATTCAGAGTCTGAATTCCAGCTTGTTTCCCCATTCATAGAACTCGTGTTTATAATATCACTTTTCTGAGATGATTTTGAATCCAGAAGCTCACCAACAACAACATGGTTCTCTGGCATAGTTTAATGCACGGATTAAGGAAACTACAAATTGATCCATTAGAACAAGACAACTTAAAGAACACAAACTCACCAAGTATACGAGTTATTGAATCAAAGATGGAACTGAGAAGCTCACTAGCTGCAGATTGTGCTGTTCCTACCGGTGTCATTGTAGGAGATACTGGACCAGCAACCAACTGTGTCCCCAAAAGAGTTGTTCCATTCTTAACCTTTTGCTTAACAATGTGATAGCTTCCAAATGTACCTTTTGAGAAAAGATCAGATAGAGCTGTTTTTCCAGGCGGATCAACACATGACCTTGATGAAGTTCTTGCTGCATAAGCTTTTATTTTCGATGTGATAATTTTGTGAATAGTTGGACGTAACCGTTGACTGTTTCAAACCAGAAGTAGCTGACATTAGAAGCATGAAAAACAAATTAAAATCATAATAGACTATGCAATCATGAAGTTCCCCTAATCGACCATTACTATTAAATTTACAACCTCTACATGTCTCAACTTGACAAGTTACTGGAACCATTTACAACGTGATGTCAAAACCACCCTGGAATATCTATAAACTAATTCAAGGTAAAGTTCCCATTCCAATATTCCTCCATTTCCAAAAGAAAAGAAAAAAAAATTCAAAATCCTGCAAGTCTTCACTTGAACAGTCCCATGGCCTTTAAAAGCTGCATCACTAAATATAAATCAAGGAGAACCTATTAAATCTAAAGAACTATAACAAACAACACCGTAAACAAAGAGACCCATTTGTATTTTGGTTTTTATTCAATCGGTATCTCGTTACGTGCTAGCTGAAAAATGGTATCCACAAAGAAGGATATCTTTACATATAAGAAACTTTAAGCTAATTTACAGTCAACTTTCGCCAAAAAACCATTTGTAAGTCAGAATTATAGAAAATACTGTATCCAACAATCTTGATAGTCAATACAATTTACATTCTCATTCATGTCACCTACACTTATTGAGTTCTAGTAAAGAGCAGAAAAAATAGATCTCGTTAATATCTGCGGTATTCTTAAAAGCAGTAACTGAAGTATTACGGCATACTTCAAGATATACTAAGCAAGTTCGCTCAGATTATACCTTTAGTCAGCCATTGTTTCTAAATTACGATGCACCATAAAACCAAAGCATAAATAAAACTAGCTGAAGGAACGGCAATAAGAATGAAGGGTGAAATTGGATCATAAAGCCACTCAATAATAGTTGTCTTAGAATGATTATTACTGTGAAAAAGATGATGACCTGAAGAGGACATTACAAGAAATTATTACATCCGGTCAAAAACCGAACGGTGCAAATGTATACCGAGCAATACCGAATCCAAAATACCAAGTTTTAGGTGACGTGGCGCATGGTTATTGGTCTCTAAACGCATTCGGACACCGGATATAATAATTGCTCGGACATTACAGTTAGAAACCTATATATTTAAAGTGATAATATATTTATATAAAAAGAAGCATAAATCAAGATTTGAGATTTTAAAATTGGTCAAGGAAATAACAAAAACTGCAAAACACATCGCAGCTTATATTTTTAGCATCCGATTTTCTAATTTAAAAAAAAAAATCTTTTAAAGAAGACAAATTGCAATTTTTTTTAGCTACAGAGCATAGATTTAACTCTCAACTTCCATGAACTAAAAAGTAAGAAACAATTTGTAAATTCTTTTAGCTACATTGCATAAATTAAACTCTCAACTTTTTAGTTTATGAGTTAGCATGACACATTAAGCTTTCAAGAGAAAAAATATATATCAGCTAATCAAAAACCCAATTAATGAACTTACCTAACACATTGCCCATTACAAAACATGTAGACCTAAAAAGCAATGAAAATCATAATTCATGAATAATTTTATTTTCATAGCTAAACAATACAGCAAAAGCTTGAAGACCCACAAATTGAGTCTATAAATTTATCTAAGTTGTATAAGGCAGAAAATTCAATTGACATTTTTATATTTTCTTGATAGTATAAAAAGATTAATTTTGTGGCTGATTTTTTGTGATTGATTTCATGTTTACTTTGAGCATACGCTAAAAACTGCATGTTTTTCCTATGTTTCTTTTGATGCTTTGCTTGGAGGTGGTCCAGACATTTTGGGTGATAGTTCTCGGAAAATTAAGCTTTCTACACATTAAAATGTAAACAATTTTAAAATTAACCATAGGATAATATTTTCAAATAAATTTGCGTAGCTTATCCCAAAAATAAGCTAACTTTTTCAAATTCAAAATGAAATTCAAAGCTCCCTTATGGATCTTAATATACAATCCAATAATTGGCTAATTACTTATCCATAAAGCTGTGCTTATCAATCAACATCAATCTAGTGTATTTGTTGATGAAAATTATACACATAGCCTTGTGAGTCGCATATAGAAATAAAAGCCCACAATCTAAGTATTAGATAACAAAGAATATTAAATTATCAAACAACATATACATAACCTCATGTTCAAACATATTAGTGTAAGTGTCTTAGTTATAAGTCCACTTTCCTGAAATAAAAAAAAAACTACATTGCATATGCATTGAAACAAAGATTGTATAGTTTTAAAATACTTATGTGGTTTTAACTTGTCATCCTCTCCTATCAGGAATGTAAAACTAAAAGTTGGACTGACTTAACTTACAGTGAGAATTAAGTTCGTAAGCCCCATGCATTTCAGTAGATTTAGGTTCGAGTTATTAGAACTTGGTAGCTCATACCTTGAATATAAGATTTGAGGCTGATATTTTCTTTTTAGTTAAATCATAGCTCCTCGCGTTCCATGGCATTTCTTCAATTTTGTGTTGTTAGATATAAGGTTTAAAATTGCACAATTGGGTGTTGTGGCGTTTTTCATTCGTGAGGCGAGGCGTAAGCCTTAAGGCGTTTTGAGGCATAAGCGTTAAAATCCAAAAATTGCGTAAAATTAAAATAAGGCTTATAAGTGATTTTTTATACAATACCTAAAAAATATGTTAAAGGATGACATATTAACTTTCTATTGAACTATGATGTAATAAATTAGCATACATGTGAAACAAAAAATACACAAGACGAAAGTGTCAAGTGATAAATTACATGAAATGGAATTGGAATCCAAAATTACAATAACAAAATAACATAAAATATAGGAATTGTACAAAATTAGCATATAATATCAAGTTCAACTGCAAATTTATTCTTGCTCATTTCCTTACTTTTCTACATTTAATTCCTAAAGAAAGATGAAATAGTTGGCAACATCTCAAAAATATCTGCACTATCATCAGTGAGGGAATCTTTATTTGAATCGTCGTCATAACAAATTCTACTCTCATCTGCCTCATCTTGTGGAGTCGAATGCCTCCCAATCAGATTTTTCTTCATTTATTTCAATCATCTTTCTCTTTCATAGATGCTTTTCATCAACATAAAAATTAGATTAATACTCCTAAATTTTTAGAGGAGGTAGTGGTTGTGTGCGGCTTTTAAATGACCCCTGATGGCGGCTAAGACGGTAATTCTGTGGCGAAGGCGGTGGACTAGAGGTCGAGGAAGTTGAGAGAAATTTGTTGCGGCTCAAGGGTGAATGAAGGGGTGGTTTATTCGGGACTTTAGTTTAGAATTTACGTTTTAATAACAAAATATAAAATAGGGATTCATAAGCCTCATGCTAGTGAGGCAAGGCGTAAGCCTCATGGTGGCCCTCAAACAAGTTGAGGCGCAAGCCTCGTTAAAAGAGCTTGAGGCGTAAGTGATGGGGACATTAGAGGTTAGAAAGTTCATCAGAGACGTGGCCGTCGATTCACGGCCACGATCGAGTCGATGTATTTTTGAGTCATTTCATGTATTTGTCTTTTATTATTTATGTTGTAGTTGTTTTCCCGTTTTTACCTCTTACTTAAGGGATTTCGTATATAAGCCCTGAGGGCATTGTCGTCTTTTACTTTGAGTCCTATGTATAAGGCTATTTATAGCCCCTATATTTCTCTTTGGAGGTTAAGGATTGAATGATAAGAATTTTCCCACTACTTGAGTTCTATGTGATATCTTGAGCATGTTTGAAGAGAGATCCCTAGGAGAGAGATTTCGTATCACCCACCAACCTTAGAGACGGCTGGGTTCGTGGTTCATTTTATTATCTCATCTTTCTTTTCTTTTCCCCACCCTACTCCACCGGTCCACCTCCCCTCTCCCCACCCCAAACCGCCGGTCACATTGGTCCCAATCACGCCGTCGACTAAGTTTCCCAACCCCTCCCCTTCGACCCCTCCTCCCTTACCCCACCACCATCAACGGCCACCACATAAGCTGCCGGCCCCACTTGGTTTCCCCTCCTACATTGCTTACAATCACTCCTTTCCTAATTGGGTTGGATGATTTAGGTAACTCCATAACTTTACAAAATTCAAATTTATTTGAATTTAAAAAGTTACCTAAAATATCATTCTTATTTTAGGAAAGTTTCCAAATCCTTGATTATTTAATTTAGTTAAATTAGGATGAAATATTTCATCCTAAATTTAATTACCTAATTTAAGGAAGAATTAAGAGCTTTCTTAAACTCCCCTCTAGACCATTAACACTCCTCTTTATTTTCTTTGGATTTATTTCCTAAAACTCATTCCCCCTTTTGGAATTAATTCAAACCTCTCATGCTCCCTTGGCCGAAATTTCCAAACCCCCACACCTCCTTATTTCTTTCCAAAACCTAATGTTAAACTCTTTCCCTCAACCAAAATCTAAACCAATTTTAAAAAACCCCTTCCTTGGCCGGCCACCCCTTCCCCTCCCCACTTAAAATTAAAGAGAAACTTCTTTCCCTCGAGTGGAGCTCCAAAGGATTGACGTTGATCTTCGACTACCATCTTCCTTTCCAAGTCGATGAATGGTCGATCCAGAACTTGATTACGGTTTCGCTTACGACGAACAAAGGCACGTCAACATCCTCCACTCCCCGTTCTTCGACTACAACCCCGAAGTTGATAATTCATTTGAAGAATACGTGGATCACATTATCTTCACTCTATCGGAGGCCATCGACGACCAACTTGCCGAAGCCCAGTGGAGAAACATTTCCGAACCTTTCCAAGGGTGAACTTCTTCCCCATTTCATTTACTTTCATAATCTCCTAATCTTGTAGGTGGTGACAAGTCACAAGGAACCGTGCTTCGCCTTATGCCTAAGCCTAGTAAACGTAGGAATTGAGTGTGCCTTCTATGTGGCTAACTTATTGTAGACTAGGGATTTTGTTGAAAGCTATTTACTTCACATGTTATTGAGCTTCTAACATGTTTTGATATTCCAAGTGTTTGGCAAGTGGCTTAGCCAAAACGTAGGTACCCCTCTCTTGTTTTCTTTTATCGTTTTAACTGCTAGTACTTTTAATCTTAATTGTTTTAATCAAGAAATCGTGCAAATTCTTATCGCATACATTTAAAACATTTTAGTCCTGCATCAGTAAGCCTCGAGATGTTTCTCACTAGAATTATGCTAAGGTGGGCCTCAAAGCGAACCTCATATTGCACGACTTTAAACAATGGTAAAATGGCACCCTTGGAATATGAAATGGCCAAAAAAAGTAGGACCAATGGATACAGTTCCTGGCTTGCATAAAAGACATTTATTTCAAAACTTAAAAATCAGATTTACATATAAATTACTGAAATGATACATAAAAAAGAAGCCAACAAACCGAGGAAAATGCATGTAAATATAAAGTAGGTGGACATGTTAATACTTGATACGACGGAAGGAACAATTACATTATTAAAATAAGCTGCCACAAACTGAGGGCTGCTCCCTACCATATTATTGCACCGGCAGCAGCAACTTTGCCAAGCATGCAAAGACATTCAACCAATGTCCGTAAATACTTAATATTAAGGGGAGCATCGTGTTTTCTCACTGATTCCTGCAAACATAAGACCGTAAAAAAATGGAGTTAATTAAGAATACCATTCTTTCCAGGATATGATCTATTAAATAATAATTAGACTTAACAATAAACTCATCCGGAGTTGCAGATGAAAGCCATGTTGGAATTTGACGAGAAATGCCTCTAACATCCTTCACTTGCCCATCAGAGGTACCACCATCAGTAACATCAAGAGTACTCTCATCATCATGACCATCAAGAGAGGAACTGAGAATGCATCAGATATAAGGTATTAAAGTAGGAAAAGGGAAAGCTTAGATATGATCAAGCAGCAACATCTGACAGAAAACATCAAATTCAGCTAACAAATACTCATATAAATAGAGAAAGATAACTTCTTATTATGTCAAAAGAAATTTCTTAATTTCGTTTCTACTCAATTTACTTTTTCTCAGTTCTTTATTTCAGTGCACTCAAAATTAAAATCAAGACAATTAATTTTTAAGTCCGCTGTGGGCAGGTACGTAAACTTGTTTGATTTTACATTCATTGTGAGGCCATATTTCATTTTTTGCATGGAAGAAGACATTCACATTGAGAGAAAATTTATACAAATCCAAAATTAGGATTTAAATAAAGACCAATGATTTAGATTTTCAAATGCCAAATAAAAAAAAAATAAATTCTAGATATCATTTTTATTATATAATTCTATTGATACCAAGATAGAATACTCATAATATTTTTTAAACTTTCATTCCTAACAATTTCTTTCATGGAATTTCAAAAGCATCTATATTGGTTCTCACTTTAGACTATATGATCAAATTTAATCAGTATAAAGGCCATTTTCTTTCCGACAGTGTGTGAATGTGCGTGTGTCAACATATAAATAAGATAAACAGTTTCTTATAAAAGGAGAACTACTATTTTTCTCCTACTTTTATTTTGGGGAATTACATATTTAATACTCAAAACTTATCTATGTACAAAGCTAACACCTATATAATTTTTTTTAATTATCAACCCATGTATTTGGGTGTGCCATGATCCAAACATTGGGAGTTTGGCAAAAAAATAAAAATAGCAATTAAGGTTTTGTTGTGAATTTAGACATTAAAGTGAGAATTCAAAAAATGGATGTAAGAGGATATTAATTTTAAAAATTGCTATGTTTCCAGTGTTATGAATGCAATCACCCCATTTATTTTTGTATACATTATCTTATGATCATCAAAATCGAGGTCATCCTGTTGATTGTAATATGCAAGAAAATTACTTATTGATCAAGCTTCATCATTTAAAAAAAAGAGGCCATTCTTCAAGCATGTCTAAAAAACAAGAACGACAAACGACTCATACAAGCCCTCCTAAAAATCTAGTCTTATACATGTATTCACCAATCAAAACAGTTAAAATACAAACAAAATGAAATAAACCACACAAGTATATAATGCCGGCCACGTAAGAGTCTCTACGTATTAAAATCATAATTATCTTCTCACATAATCAGATTCATTCATTGTGCAATTCTTTTATAAATTCAATTGATGATCAAACAATCTTCAGAAAATTTTGATCTTTAAAATTGAAATCTAGCTGGATATAAAATGGTAATTCACCCTCTTATGTTGAATATATACAGTGCAAAGCTTAATTGATGGTCACTTTTAAGTGCAACATCAATGATAATGAAATATATTAAACATGCACGCTTTAAAATGATACACGAGCATAAAATTAATGCATAAATAACTAAACAGGTCTATGCTTGATTTATTTCATAAAAGATGACTTGCAAATAGTTATTCTTAGGCAATTCATGATAGCAACCGTCATGGAAGACTATTTTTTATACAAAAGTTAGATGGTTTAGGCATTCCAAACTTCCTACATGCAAATGATGTTGCCCACCTGAATCTACCGATGAGCTTGACACAGATAGCCTGTTACCTATCTAGTTCATCCACTTAAAAGGAATATAGATTCTTTGGCTCTTTCTTCAAGTACTCTTTACTTTCTCTCAAACCGAAAGGGCATATTCAAAAGATACCCAAATTATAGAGTGGTCATAATTGGAGAGACATTATTATGTGTATCATTCCATCATTTATGCTGAGTTTATACAAGTTTAGGGGAACTACTAGTAGAAAAATATAAAACAATTAGATAATAAAAAAATGAATATATGATTAATTATAATAGGTGATGTAGAACGGGGGAGGAGGCTTTGCTAGCGAGAGGATCTCTTCTCTCAAATCTGAAGGAAATTTTGATTTCTTTGCCCAAAACCTGAGAAGAATCTCAGATTTTCTCTTGATAGGAGAGAGGTTGCAAGCTCCAAACCTCCTCTCCTATAATCTGAAAACAGTCTCAAATTTCCACCAAAAACCTGAGAGGAATTTCCAGATTTTGGTGGGCTAGGACGTAGAGAACTTGAGGAGGAGTCTAGCCTTGGTTGTGAATAGAAAGCTGAGAGCAAACTTCCTTTACAGGTTTTGGAAGAGAGGGCTTAACTAATGCAATTAGGAGTGAGTAGGGGCGGTGACAGGGAGAGGGAGTCGGCGGGATTGAGAGGGGGTGAGCTCATGTTTCCTAAATCCAACCTCTAGTATTAGGAAATAATTTAGAGCCAAGATATGAATGAGAATTTCGGCCAGGTAAGAGTTACAGGAATTGTAATTATTTCCAAAGGAGGGACTTAGAATTAGGAAACAATTAAATGGAAATTGCTGGGCTATTACGGGGCCGGCGGCAATATCATGAGGAAATTGGGATTTGGTGCCATGTGTACAAGCTTGCCAAAAATAGTTTTAGACTTAGGAAATTAATTAACTCTATTGAATTTGAATTCAAATATTGTTAACTTAAGAAACTTTCCTAAAATAGATTCGCTAATTTAGGAAAGATTTCAAAATTCAAAATAATGGGATGTTACTGTGCTGCTTTGAAAGTTCCGCCTGATTGCTGGTGCTTTGGTTCTGTGAGCTGCTGGGTTGATTTTCCGAAAAGAGCCAGGAAATCCTTTGGAACTAATGCTTGGAATGATGTGGCTTTTGGCATTCCTTTTCTTTGCCTATAAAAATGAGATGATGTTGAGAAGAAAAATAGGTTATGTGAGTGATTTTTGGAAGCCAAAACCTGCGGGTTTGTTCGTGGAAAAGCTTGCGAGCTTGTTCCATTCTCCTTCTCCTCTAGGAAAGCTTGCGAGCTTCTCCTCCTCCTTCGTCTTGGCTTCTAACCTCTTTCTTCTATCCGCAAGTGTCATTCCATTGTATCCTTCTTCTCTTGGAAAGCAACTTTAGGTGTCTTGTAAGAGTCATTTGTAAGAGTCGTTTGTAAGTATCCAAATTGTAATAGTTTTTATAATATTAAAGTTGTATTTTGTTTTGTTTAATTTGTCTAATTATTATAAGTTTTGTAATGTTCTATTTCCTAGTAAGGGCTAGTTTTTGTGATCAAAAATTTGGGTCCCTCTCCCAAATTTTTGATTGCATCAAAATTCAAAAGGATGTGAAATCTTTGATCATCCCAATTAAATCATCAACCTAATTAAGAAATTTCAAGGAGACGGAGAAGTGGGGATGAGGCCGGCGGTTTGGAGGATTTTCGGGTAAGGTGGCCGGTGGCTAGTGGGGGGAATATGTGTGGAGCTCGGTTGGGAGGAGACGATGGCTTGGAGATGGAGAAGATGAAGGTGGACGTACGTAGAGGATGAAGATGAAAACTAGGAACAATAAGAAGGAACAAAAACAAAAACAAAAGATATAAGACAAAAATCGCGAGCCTTGGACTTTTCCGAAGACTAACGGGTGATTCTTTGCCCTTCTCCAAGGGACTTCAAGTCACGAGCCCGGACCCATCCTGCGGCTGGTGAAAACTCTGAATCCTTCCTATATGAATCTCACTATTGTCCTCTCAAAAGTACACAAGTGTTGAACACAAATTTTTAATATCAATAATCCATCCCTATTGCAATAGCTTAATGCCCTATATATAGGCCACAACATAAGAAAACTCAAAATACAAAATTGCTCCTTGGGCCACAACACTCACATAAACCAACCTAGGGGTAAAACAGGAAATACATCAAATAAAAACTAAAATTCAGAAAAAATAACTCATAATTGAAGATTTAAAGTATAGCCGTCGATTTACGACGCCTCCTGTGATAGATGCGCCAAATCTTCGTACCGATTTCCACATCAATAGAATAATATATCGATTGGTGAGGTGGCAATAATATTCCCAATGATCAATGATGTGATATGAAGCTAATAAGGAAGATGGCAAACGGGATTGTAGGAGGTGAAATTGATGGAATTTGAATTTTTCACACTCCCCCTCAACGGAATGAATGATTGATGTTCATTTCAAGCTTACATGACATTTTTTAAAATATTATTCATGTTATCCTTTACTGAGAATGTTTTTAAGTTTCCTATCCATAACAACGAACAAAGTATAAAAAAGAATACTATCTAGCTTCTCTTTTATAAAATACCAATCAATTTTAATATGTTTTATTTAGTCAGTTGCATGAGTTTATGCGTAATATTTATGGCTAACCTGCTATCCACAATAGAACCCCATAAGATATTTGCATTCGACATTTAAATCTTCCAAAAAAAATTTCAATCATAGCAACTCGTAGATTCCTAGTGTCAGAGATCTAAACTCAGCTTTTGCATTAAATATTACCATTGCATTTTTTTTACTTCTCCAAGTCAGGAGATCCTCCTATGAGTATGCAATATTTAGAAGTTGACTTACTATCAACCATAGACCTTACATAATAAACATTTTATAGGATTCAAATACAAATCCTCTGAAAATTCCTTTACCTAGGATTCAGTTTAGATATTACAAAATTCGATGTGTAGCCCTTAAACATGATTAATTAGGATTATTAAAGAATTGATTTACCACATCAACAACACAGGCAATGCTAGGTCTTGTATGTGACTAATAGAAAAGTCTTCCATCAAGTCTTTATAATAAAATAATTTCTATTGTAATGTCTTCTGAAGCATCCCCAAGTTTATGATTAATTTTTCATGGGGCTCACGATAGGATTGCATCCCAACTTATCTACTTCCTTTAATAAGTACGTCATATATTTTTATCATAATATAAAGATCTCATGTTAAGAGTGCGCAACCTCAATGACAAGGAAATACTTTAGCTTATCTAATTCCTTGACTTCAAATTCTTAAGAAAAAACTTTTTTTTCAAGTCTCCATACCACCCAAGTCACTACACGTTAC